GGCAAAGTTAGGTGAAGGAACTAACTGAGGTGGAGATATTTCTCGAGCCAGCTCGAAGGCCACGACATTATGGTCAGAACTGGAGAGCGGGGGCAGAGTGGAAGTACGGGTAACAATCTGAGACGAACATAAAATCAGGTCTATTATCTTGTCACTATAGGTCGCCTCTGTAACGCACTGTGCGAAGCCAAGTGTGTCAAAAAGGCGAAGATATTGCGAAGCGACAAAATTTCGTGGGTGCTTATTCGACCAGTCAATGTTGAGGTTGAAGTCTCCCATAACTAATGTGTGGGATCGAGCAGAGCAAAGATCCGAAAGAAGTTCGATAAAGGCATCATCAGCGGTTGCAGAGGTACTGGGTGGGCGGTAAACTGCCATAAGTCTTACAGTAGAAGAAGGAGAGACACCATTCAAAAGTTCGATACAAATCAATTCCGGACCAAGTTCCAAACCAACTTTAATTTCTTCGGATATCAGAAAAGGATTGACTAGACAGCAGATCCCCCCACCTCTTCTACCGCTACGGTCATGCCTGTAAACAGTATATGGGAATCCCCCGGTCAATTCAGTATCGAGAATTTTTGAGCTGCACCACGTCTCCGTTATTGTTAGAATATCAGGTTTAAATTTGCTCAGGAACATATGCAAATGATGTATTTTGTTTACAATGCTTCGGGCGTTGAAAAGAAAGCACTTCAGGGTACCACTATCAGGGGAGCCATGCGGCTTCAGGCGTTTCCCGAGGATCTCTGCGACAGTTCTGCGGCACGTCTGAGCTCTCCTTTATAAACCACCCATTCGCGAATAGACTTACCTCTGTTGCGCTCCCTGGCCTGCTGTCGAAGTTCATACTCAAGTTTCCTCTCATCAGGGGTCATACTCCTTCTGACAAAAATGTTCGCGAACCCACTTGATTTCAAATTTCTTGCATTAGCTAATGCAGTGCGCCAATGAAATCGGGAAGGTAGGAGGACTTTTACAAGTCTGGGACGAGAACGGTCCTCTTTCCCCATCCTATAGACTTCAACAGGGCGGCATTCCACATTCAGAACGTCCAACACATCGGAAACCTTCGCCTCGAGATCTCTCTGCTTCTCGGACGGCAGTGAATGTGAGGGAGCTTCTTCGAGTCCGCTCAGTACGATACTTCTGGAGCGTTTATCCGCTTCCATAAGCTCTGACATCTCTTTCGGAATCTTCTCCGCCAAAGCAAGGAGCATCTTTTCGATTACGGGATCGGTGTTACGCTCGAGAACAGCTTTAAGAAGCTGACTTGCTGAAAGCATGGCGTAATCCGTGTCAAGCGATGGCGTTCCAGACAACTGAGTAGAAGCACTTTGGGTCGCCTTGGGGTTACTTGAAATATCATGCACATCCTTCTTCCTGTGAGTTCGATCTACCTTGGGTGGCATGATCAATCGCTCTAGCTACTCGTGAAATCGATCGAAAAAGAAAGGAACAATCAAACGCAAAACAGGCGATAGAAACAAAGGCCGACCGTGAGCTCGAGCAAAAAAAGGATTCAGAGGCAGGAGAAGTATCAGACACACAAGGAAGCAATTGTAATTGAGAAAGAACAGAAGTTAATAATATTGAGAAGAATTAGGAGACAAAAATAATTCGCCGCCGCTTAGTAGCTAGTATTACCAATCCATCTATATCGACACTTTTGGCTCACAGCAGCCAAAAAACATGTGGAGTCACAACAGTCCAACTGTAGGACGCAAATGGCACACATTACACATTCAAGGTCACAAGGATCGACACAATCACCCAGCCACTGAAACGGAATCGCCTCAGCCTCGAGGATAAACGGTTTCTCTTTGAAAATGAAATACAATTCTCCATAAACCCGAGTCGGACAAGCATCAGTCCACAAATACTTCCGAGCTGCACAGACCTCTTTTCTCTTCTGGACTATGGCATGACGCCACAGCACATACTAACATCAGGGTATCGACTCATTTCATCCAAACTTGGTTATCCAGTAGCAGGATACAACAGGCATTCCTCTACGACAATCAACAAGGACAAGAAGGAAATGGAATATGGATACACACACTGAAAGCAGTAGAACAAGTGGAGTCTGAAGCGTCAGCGCAATCGTGGGAAGACTTCAGTACGTTCGATTCATCTGGAGTGGGCGAATTCGGTGGCCCAAAGACAGAGGAACGTCGGGAAACAGACTACACTGTATGGAACACATTTGAGAAGACCATTGAAAGAAAGGAGGATGGTCACTGAAGGACGCTCAACAGCTGCCTTACAACAGGATTCTTACCCTATGTCGCCTACAAACCCTGATAACTGAGAACTGAGAACTACATCTGAAATACTACAGCAGTATCAGGGAACAATTCAAACTCACCTAGACCGCGATATCGTTGAAGAAGTAGATGGAGACAAACCTCCCGACGGAGATATGGTTCATTACTCGCCTCATCGGGCAGTTATCACACCTCACAAGAACACACTAAATTGAGGGTTGTATTTATATGATGCGTCCGCCCATATAAAGAACGCTCCCTCTCTAAATTACGTCCTTCACCGAGGACCCGTCATGCTTCTTAAGCTGTGGCATATCCTACTAAGATTCGGAATTGGAGACGTAGCTGTTGCTAGTGATGTCGAGAAAGCCTTTCTCCAAGTTCAGTTGAAAGACGGAGATGCAACTCGTTTCCTGTGGCTGAAAGACGTGAATCAACCAGTGATCCGAGACAACCTCATCATATACCGCTTCAATCGCGTCACTTTCGGATTAATATGTTCGCCATTTCTCCTTGCCGGAACGATCAAATACCATCTTGAACACAATTCGATAAATCCTGGAGTTTCTCATGAAATACTTAACAATACATATGTCGACGACGAAATAATGACGATAATGACGGCGAAATCTACAGCGGAAGCAATACACCTATACAAAAGTTCGAAAGCCATATTCGGAGAAATGAGAATGAACCTCAGAGAATTCATCTCTAACGATGAAAATCTCAGAGAACAAATAAGCAAGGAAGATCTGAGCGGGAGTACTACTCAAAAAATTCTCGGAATACTATGGGATTCGAGTCAAGACGAGCTAATTCTGACTTGGATGTATCCTTCCAGAGAAAAAATCACAAAACGCTCCATTTCCGAACAGGTAGCCTCCATCTATGACCCACTTGGATGGATGACACCCATTACACTCCATGGAAAACGATTTCTGCAACATTTATGGAAATGCGACTACAGCTGGGACGAAATACTTTCTCATGGACATCAACAGCAGTGGAAAGATATTGTCGAAGAAGTAAATGACTTCCGCTGCAAAATCAATAGAAGAATCACGCAAATTAACCATAGAGTAGAGATTGTGGTAATTTCCGACGCTAGCAACACTGGTATGGCCGAACACTGGCATGCGCATACATTACATCGGACAACGGATCAGTTCTAGTCGCACGAAAATCTAAGTTACCGTTAGTGAAAGATGACGTCCATCACGGTAAACAATAATGCGAGTGGGTTTTTGATTCGTATTTCTGTAGAAGGACACAAGCCTTCCCCTTATGGCGTCGAGTAGGTACACGACCGATTCGCGTCACTTTCGCTGGACCTTGACGTTGGCTCCATATGATTGGGGTAGTAGGTCAATGTTAGCGACGATCGCTGCCACTGATGGAACGTTCATACGTTCTTCAGCTTGTGTTGGATGTGTGACGTGCCAACGACCAGTGTTGGCTGATCTATTATATACTTGTGGGTGATATTGTCAGCAACAATGCAACTGTTGATCCCTCCAAGTTCATGCTCACTTTAAGGATTATGTTCGAGCAAGTGGCAAGCGATGGACGTTGAACGTTTTTCATAAGCACGCATTGTGACGTTATGCCGTGAATCATGTCTGAGCTCTCCTTTACGGTCATGTAGATATCTGAATTCTTCCCGGGCAGCACCACTATGACTAGGTCGCAGCTAATTCTCGTCTGCTTGTATGCGTTAGCAATTTCGTTAAACAATACCACCACATCGTCGTGGCCACGCCCGTATTTGACGAGGTCGGGCCATTTCGGAAAAACCATGCCCATTTGTGTAGCCTTCGCGTAAAGTGCCTGACAGAATCCTTGTGGCAAATTCTGGTCTCTATGGTTAACCAACGCGACCATCGAGTAAATTCCACAAGTAGCAGGCAAATGAAGTGTCTGATTGTCCATAGACCACGCTCCGTCCTTCGGATGAACAATGGGGTACACTATTTTGGAATTGTCACCGAACATGATCTGTGGCGGTTGGATAACCCTAGCCATTGTCTCCAAAATCATAGGTGAGACCGAAAGATCAAACTCTTTAAGGAAAGGGTCACGGTCAAAGCCAGCCTGCTGGCAGAGCTGAGCGATACGCTCTTCTCTCTGTGATGCATCTACTGCAGCAGCTCTGGTTATTGAGCTCGTCTGCTTTTCACTCAGTTTTTTGTTGTATTTCTGTGGTGTGTCCATCTCACAGACTTCCAAAGGGAAGAAAATGTTGCGGGTTGGTGGGCCAACGTGAAGACATGGAAGTTTTGGAAAGCGTAGTTCCGCATATTTCTCTGCGAAGTACTGTGCCACCGATTTGATAGTTTCCCGCCCATCTTCAGTAACACCTTTGAATGTGAGCTTGTGCGTGGGCATTTGAAGGCTGTTAACGCGGTAGACTCGAACGGCACCCTTGCGATGAGAGAACCTGATTTTGATGCCCTTCACAGCTTCAGCAAGGATTTTCATCTCATGATTGGACAGCGAAAATTCTTTGTAGAGGCTACTTGGCGATAGCAGTTCTAGCGACTCCTCATGCCGCTGCGTCGTAGGATGTGTGGTCCTTGGTGCATATGTGTGGTAACCACCGCGACCAGCGCTTGTAGCAGTTCCACCTCTGCTCGCACAGTAAGTGCGCCCAGGCTGGGCAGTGGTGCCGTAACTGCTACGAGTAGTGGACGACGGATTACGGTACGCACCAGCGCGTTCCTTCAGAACGTCGCACATAAACTGAACCATTGAAATTTTAGCCTTATATTAGGTTGAGTAAAAAGTTTTGATCGACTTTTCGTCCCTTTCTAGATTTTTTCGTAGGACCGTTCGGAAGGACTTCGCAAAGGATTAAGGTAGACCGATTTCTAACCTGTATCTTTAGGGGGATTTATAAGCGTTCCCTCGTATGTGCTTCGCAAAAATGACTTCAACCTTCAACTCTCGTCCGAACCTGTCTGAGAGTTATCGTCTATCACGAATTACTGTAAGGGCATAATCCACCGACGGCTGTCGCAAATATCTATGGTGCATCTAGGAGACTTATCGTATCCCAGTGCCTCATGACGAAACATCTTCAAGACAAGCAGAGAAGTGGACTATGTCCGAGGAAGGTCTTACTGTGTCGTCGGTGGACGTTCTCAGGGAATGCTCTACCTCGGATAACTTGTTGAGGATTCCACCGTGACCACCGGGATTCACGCTTCTCAGCTACAGAGTTCGGCCGACGTTGTTCGAAAGAATCGTCCGCAGCTTGGAAATGCTTGCCTTTTTCACGACAGCGCTCAACCCCATGTTGCGAAATTGTTTTGTCAGTAAATTGCCGAACTTGGATGGGCAGTGCTGCCCCATTCCACTTATTCGTCAGGTCTCGCTCCACCTGACTACCATTTGTTTCTCTCTGAAACATCGCCTTCGCGATAGGAATTTGGGATGATTGCTTGGAACTCAAAAATGAGATCTCCAGCTTTTTTGAATCACGGCCGCCACCGTTCTGGGCTTCAGGAGTCAAGAAACTGCCTGATCGCTAGACGTATGTTGAGGACAGCGATGGAGGCTATATTATCAATTGAGATCCTCTTTCCATTGAAATAAGAATTTTTGAAGCGAAAATTGAAAAGCCGATCAAAACTTTTTACTCAACCTAATAGAATGCAGTATGCGCAACATCGATGTTCAGAAGCGGTTTCCACCCGCTGGCGACGTGCGCGGGCGAGTAAAAGCCGGTCCACATATCTTTTCCACCCTCCAAATCTAGTGCTAGTGCACCGTTGTTAGGAATCCGATAACAAGACGACTCCCATGAATAAAAGTTTGCAGCACTATCGATAAACGGACAAGTGAGACTCTGACGGCAGACGATTTCCAGAACTTGAATTGGGGTGAGAACACGCTCATCGAGATTGTTCGTGCGGTTGCGTCGCATTTCGATAGGTACTGGACCAACACACTGGAAAGAGACTGCACAAGGTGGTACGTCTGCTTTGAGCTGCATAGAATTTCGCTTATTAGGGAATTCCAAGCGATATGGTGTATAGAGCTGATGAGCGCCATGCGAATGCGACGGCAAATTTGTTAGCGAAAATTGATGGGTGATCGGCAACTACTTTCCAGAAGATTGCACGGTTTTCGTCACGGTCAAGTTTACGGTTACCTGGATGGTGCACTCGACGTAGTACTGCACTACCACTATATTTGAGCTGGACAGATCAGTTTCGAAGAAAATGGAGCGGATAGCGATCGGGCGTCCTGTTTGCAATGCCTGGCCGAGCAGCAACTTCTCCAACGTTCATGCATGCTAGCTCCTGCAGCAGTAATTGTGACAAATCTTTCGGTGAGCCAGTAATGCGTGATGAATTTGACGGCGAACTTTTACGGGGAGAAGACGATAGATTATCAGGAGAATGGATGCCAGAATCTCCGGAATCCTTGTCACTGTGTACCATTTCAAAGCTTGATGCTTGACAATGGATAGCAAATGGAATTTCACAACACATTACAAAAGAGATTGAGCGAAATGGCCACCGCCTCCTGAGCGTGACCTAAGCAACTCTGGTATGGCCACATGCGCATAGATTACATCGAAGAACGGATCAGCTCTAGTCGCAGGAAAATCCAAATTGCCGTCAGTGAAAGAAATACCCACGATTCCTAAGATGGAACTCAACGCCTTGACGGATGGCAGTGCGTTTGATGTCCTCTATATATGAAGCAATAAAAGAGCGGCTGGATATACAAGAAATTGCAGTTCTATCGGATTCAGAGATCGCTCTGAGTTGGATCTCTTCAAAAAACTGAATCCATAAACCGGCGTTTGGTACGCAATCGAGTCCATGAGATACAACAGGTAGTTTCTCAAGTACTTCCTCCGGTTTGCTTTGGCTATGTGAAGATCAAAAATAATCCAGCTGACTGTGCAACGAAAGGACTGAATAAAAGAGATTGCAAGACCCATTCATGGTGGACTGGACCACCCTATATCTCGTACCCAGTGGAACAGTGGCCTCAGGAGTGCAGATTGTTCAGTCTGCTGCTGAACAACGAAGATGCCTGCATATTGGCAGCTGAAACAGCCAATGGTACTGCGGAACTACTCGATTGGAAACAGCAATCTCGAAAGATGCCAACGAGTGCTAGCATACGTCTTGCGTTTCATAAAGAAATTACTTGCTCACGTGAAAGGCTACCTCAAGAAGAAGTTGGAAAACAGCATTCCCGATATATGGCACGCAAACTCATTGGAATACATAACTGCTACAGAAATGGAAGCGAGTCTGAGAGTTCTTGTTCGAAATCATCAGAAAGTCCATCTGCCTGCAGAAAGGCAGGCAGCCTTGGAACAGTTGAAACTGAAAGAAGACGAGCAGGGAACCTTGAGGTGCAAAGGACGGTTAGGAAATTCTAGTCTATCTCTGGACGCCAAACATCCCTACCTCATCGCCACTAAAACGGAACTTGCTCGATTAATTGTGGAAAGTGCACATTCACCGCTACACTGCGATATGGCACACACCATAGCAAATGTGCGCAAACAATTTTGGATTTCAAAACTCAGACAAATGGTTCGATCAGAGTTAACACGATGTGTACCGTGTCAGGAGATGAACAATCTTTCTTATCGACACCCGGGAATGGACGATCTCCCTGAGCAGCGAGTACGCAGAACAAGACAATTCGAACACACTGGAATCGATTACTTTGGATCTCTGTCGATAAAGCGAAACGATGAAGTTGCAAAGGCTTACGGAATTATCCTGACGTGCGCAACGACAAGGCTTATTCACCTGGAACAGATACCAGATATGAGCCCAAACAACTTGCTGATGGCATTACGCCGATTCTTTGCTCGACGCGGAGTTCCAACCAGCATAACATCAGACAATGGATCCAACTTCATTCTGGCGGAACAAATTCTTCATGATCTGATTTCACCTACGATCAATCACGTTTCATTCATGCAATCAATGGCCACCAGAGGAATTGTATGGAAAACAATCGTACCGTATGCTCCATGGCAGGGAGGTCTCTATGAGAGAACGATCAAATCCATCAAACCTAGTCTCTACAATGTTTTGCAACGGAAGGTTCCAGATGAGAAAACTCTCGAAACGCTATCAGTGGAGATCGAAGGTTGCATCAATACCAGACCTCTCACTTATCAAGAAGAGAAATGGAATGAAACACCAGCGCTACGTCTGATAGATTTCATTCAACGTGACGTGGTTGTAACGTATCCATGTGAATTCAGCGAAGAGGATAAGACGGACCCCGATTATCTTCCAGCGGATGGTGCCGTGATACTTCAAACTCGACAACAGACGGAAGAAGCACTTAAAACAAGTTATCAGTTGATAGAACACTTCCGGAGAATATGGAGTCAGCAATATCTGACCGCCTTGCGTGAATCACACAAACTTCACATCAGCAATAAACGCGGTACTCTCAAAACCTCATCCGTCGGGAACGTAGTGTTGATTGCCGAGCTCTTGGCGCCACGAAGCACCTGGAAAATGGGCAGAAGTACGAAGACAGACCACTCTCACAACGACGTATCAGAGATGTAGAGCTTCGACTGCCAAATGGACGCACAACTCGCAGACCAGTGAACTTGATAATTCCCTTAGAATTGGGAGATACGAGTTCATCAGAACAAATAGAGTCAACTACATTTGTATCATCGCCCGAACCCCGATACAACCTACGTCTTCGCCCTTGCGGAAAAGGTACTCCACAACCGCTGTCCCTTGTTCCATGACAGTCAACCTTCCACTCACACCCTCACACACTTCTGCCATTCTGTCGCAAATGGTAGCCTCACCCACCCAAATGCAGTCCTCAGTCACCAACAAAACCACGACAATCAACTCCCATCAGAATCTCTTTGCACGAAGTGCCTCCTGAAACTTCAAAACCGTGGGCGGACTCCATCACAGACCAAGTTACAACCACACGAATCCGGCAAAATACTTTACTGAAGGGATGCTTTCAAAATCCTCAATTCCATGGACATTCTACCAAATCACTGATGAGAGAAACAACTACCGTTTTCCTTTCGCAAGAACGATTGCACACGCACCAGACGACGACTACGAGATACGAAGTCAGCCTCAGCGACACAAGAAGAAGCAGACGATAGCGACGACGTCATCCATCTAGTGGCGAGGAGTATAGAGATTCCTCTATACTCAGCGTAGCATGTGTTATCAAGAATGACTTAGGACTGATTGTTATTTAGGGTAGTTCAAAATGATCTTGTGTTTATCATGTTCTCGTATCATTCAGTATTAAAGAGCGATGAGTGAAGTAAGGTTCATTCCTTCTATAAGTACATTCGTCCTTTTCCTCCGGCTCTGTTCGTTCGGTCTTCAATTCAATAAAGCTAAGAGAAGTCCCGCGTGGCAGCAGAACGCACACAAGACCCGGAATTATCATCACGTGTACAGAGAAACTCCAACAAATCTTGACAGAATCCCAAAAGGAATATAGAGGAGGACCTACTCTTACAGAAAACCTATTACTTTATTAGGATGGGTCCTTGATCTTTTGTACAACGGTTGTTAAATCCGGGGTGTCAAAAATCGGCGGAAGCTTTTCGGACAACCCGATAGAATCTGTGCTAGCCGCTGTCCCATTGCAAGTCCTCGTTTTTGGGAGATGTATTGCCCGCTCCACTTGCAAATAATACAGTTCAGGCATTCCTTAATAAGAGCCAAATGTGAACCTAGCTCAATCCGAACTTCACCACTTCTCCTTCATGCTTATACATCATTTCAGTAACTGCTTTTAGAGCTTCACTGTTTTTCACGTTCGTATGAAGCGCGGTCATATCAAACGACTCTATCACGCAGTTTTCTTGAAGCCTACACATACGCAAGCGGTCAAGAAATTCGTCACTTTATTTTATTGAAGAACCAGGAAATGCGGTCCGGCGAGAGCCACTGTTATTGGCAAGGCGCCGTTATCAGAAAGGGCCTTGGATTACCTTAATCTTGGGCCATCATTTTCGATTGCCCGAGGAATTAGACCTTCCACTTATCGCAGGTGGTGACAGGGCTTCATCAGCTAATAGACCAGCTCAGAATGAGTGCAGTGCGCAGAGAGCCTCAGCGTAATAGTACGGCATTTGAGCATACTATGTTGATGCCTATTCCTTTCTCACCTTCGTTCTATAACGAACCAGAACTTCTCCCGTACAAGACGTTAAATTTCGAGAACTCTCATCAGGAGTTCTTGAAGTTTTCAAAAGATATGCGTGAGAGGTTCTCCAACGTTACAAACGTACAATGGGAAGGGTTGCGAGAGGTACGGAGACGCTTACCAGACGGTGAAACCCGTCTTTCCGTAAGCGACAAGTGAGGAGAGTTCGTGGTCATACCGCGTTCCCTGGATCGGGAGATACCGAGGCTCCACCTCAATGATACAACTGTTTACAGTGAGAAGGCGTTCCTCTCTCAACGTTACAGGCTGAACGCGTTGTGGGTGTCTATAGGAAAGATAGCAAAGTTGGATAAAATACTGAACAAAAGATTGAAGTTGGATACTCCCTCGTGTCCGGTTATCTAGAGCTTGATCAAATTCATAAGTTGTCCGACGGAGGTGAAAGCTCAGTTAATGCTAGTGATTTCAAAATAAGACCCATCATTAGCTGTGTGGGAGGACCAACGGACCGCATTTCCTGGTTCTTCAATAAAATAAAGTGACGAATTTCTTGACCGCTTGCGTATGTGTAGGCTTCAAGAAAACTGCGTGATAGAGTCGTTTGATATGACCGCGCTTCATACGAACGTGAAAAACAGCGAAGCTCTCCAAGCAGTTTCTGAAATGCTGGACGAGCATGAAGCAGAAGTGGTGAGGTTCGGATTGAGCTAGGTTCACATTATGGCTCTTATTAAGGAATGCCTGAACTGTATTATTTTCGAGTGGAGCGTGCAATATACTCCCAAAAACGAGGACTTGCTATGGTTCACAGGCTAGCACAGGTTCTAGCCATCTGTTTCATGAGCAGAATAGAAAGACCAGCTATAGCGCGCATGCCCACTTTGTGCTCTCGGTATATCGATGACTGCTGCGTAATTACATCAACGCAGCACGAGATGGATGAATTATTTGGCATTCTTAACCGGCAGTCACAGCTTATCAAGTTCAAAGTGAAGTTCTGCGTGTATAGGCTGGCTTCCTTACCTCAATACGCAGATAAACATTTCAAGTGGAAAGTATGATGTGAAGTGGTATCGGAAAAACAGCTCGAAGAAACCTTACTTTACGCAAAATCTGCTCACCTTGGAGCTGTAAAATGTGCAGTTATTCGTAATATGTACAAAACAGCTACAGGAGTTTGTACGGGGGAAGTGGAACGACAGGAGTCACGTAAACTAGCATCTGAGATCGCAAAGGTAAATGGTTATGGGGCACAACACCGAAGACAAGGCTCGAAAAGACATTTCCCAAGAAATGCTGGGAATATGTGTACCTCCGGCTTCCTTTCATATTGGACAAAATTAGCGCAGAAATCAGGCAGTGCATAGTGCACGCGGATATGGCCGATGATGTTGTCTTGAGAAACCTACCAGAAGACAATATCAATCGACAACTAATCCGCAATAGGCTTTACGACCGTGCATGTGACGAGATATATGACGGCGAGACGGGAAGGATGCTCGGCGTACGCGTCAAAGAACATCTAGCAGGAAAAAGGCGTGGAAGTCTAACACCACTTGGGAGGCACCGACTAGACGGGCATCAAGGCAATAATTTCGACATCGTGTGTAAAATCCTAGCCCATATCAGAGGAATCCTAGATAAGATCAGAGACTTCGAACTATTTCCAGGTCCTGAAGACGACGCTTCAGTCGAACGTTGACCAATAAAGCGGTTCAACCATATCAAACTTGTACGGCAAAGCAGTGTTAAACACAGTGTTAAATGTAATGCCCATTTTTCCAGAAGACCGAACTTGGGATTTCTGTGTATTTTCTCTTTTGGATAACAGTCGTATTGGGAAAGTTACTTCAGTACTGCATTCAGTAATTTCTAGTAGTGTTAATAGCTAGTTGTTTGTTCTCAAAGCATTATACGCACGTACGATATGGCCAGAGGTCGTGGAATCGCAGAAGCAGTGGGAGACATAACATCATTACCGCAGTATCCTTGCTCCACGGGTCCTCGCATATTCCGCGATTCGGGGTGTAAGGTTAGGACTGCATAAACGTATGGCAAAGCTATGACATCAGCGCAGGTAAAAAGAAGACCCCTGCTTTGGACACCCTGCTCATGTCGTCGTGGTTATTCCTGTGAGTGCGCAAAAGGTCACAGGAAGAATCGACATGGTCGCATAATAATTGGTAGGAGCTTACCTCATGCCTCGTATACAAGCTTTAAATATGCGGGTTCATTTTTAAGAGCATCATCATCTAGGTATTCTTTCTGTGCAGTATTTACCTATACTGATGATGCTTCCCTTTAAGTATAGATACCGCGTACCGAGTACATGACCGAGTCAAAGCACTGTCAAGATTGACGGCACGAACTTCCGCATGAATCTATCTTTAATACCTTGGATCGGCAACCATGTTTAACGACAGGCTCACTCCGAAGCTAAATTTCCTGCGAGTGCGGCCTAGTCTTAACAGCCTGATGGCCGGCTTCCTCTGCAACACGAAATTACCAGACCGCTTCAAATCGAAGACATACAGGGCCGTATTCTGACCATTTAGAACACGGAGTGCTAGCTTGTAACTGGAGAGCTTGAAGTTTGCCTCAGGTTAGAGGAATCGGAAATGCTACGATGGTTAGCTGGACTACGCTGCTGGACCGCATTCGCAACGATGCAATAAGGGAGCGTTTCGGAGTTGTTCCTATTGCCGGTAAAGTTCGAGAGGGTCTCCTAAGACGGTATGGGCATGTCCTAATCGCGGCCAACAACAGTGTCAGCAAGATCGACCCCAGTCTCGTCGTGCCGGCAAAACGGCCTCAAGGAAGATTACAGGGTGGGCCAAAATTATGATTACAGCGCGCGCTGACGTTCATTGCAAATTTTTTCTATGTTCATAACAACTCATTGAATTTCTTCCATTTCACAATGTAGCTTTCGTTATTGCCTTTCTAATGATACTAAACTTTGGGTACATTTCTAACATAATATAAGCGTAACTAGTCCGTGAATCAAACGTCGCTTTGCATTTACAAACACTTTTGGCACGGTGCATCTACAGACGAACTAGCGAAACAAGGCAGGTATTGCATTCAACCATAAGACGCTCTCGAGAGTTGGGAACAATTGCAGATAGGAGTGGTTAACCTAGGAGAGCTGTGGTTGTATTTATGTAGGGGAAGTGACAAGAAAGCAGGGCAAAGGTCTACGTAGGAGCAAAATTCATTCTGAGTCCAAAAAGGATAAATGAATGGATATGTCACGAAATTTTCTGCGTGAAATCGTGAAGCATCTCCTGCACAACGAGACCGTTATAAGATCAGAAACTGATTTCCCCAGAGAGCAGGTTAAAGAGAAGAGAAAGGTTGGCTAACAAAAGCTGCCTGTCGCATCCGAAAAAATTGTCCTACGGAA